CGGAAAGTACTACACCAGCGGAAAGTACGATGCCAGCAGAAAGTACTAACCAGGGACGGAAAGTACTACAAGGGCGGAAAGTACTACAAGGGCGGAAAGTACTACACCGATGAAAAGTACTACACCAACAGAAAGTACTACGAGGGTGGAAAGTACTACACCAGCAGAAAATACTGCGGCAACAGAAAGTACTAGGCTGGCAGAAAGTACTAAACAAGGGAAAAGTACTATACCAGCAGAAAGTACTACAACGAGCAAAAGTACTATACCCACAAACCAGCATTGCGCACTTTTACTAGCACAGTACTATACCATAGTGCCCCAGAAGCCTCAGTACTCTAAAGTACTGAGACGAGTCACTTTACTGAACCCTCTGGTTTCAATGGCTAAGTATACTACGCCTTCCTTGATATATCAAGGAGGTGGTGAACTTCAGTGACCTTCTCAGGTGGTACATAGGTGCCACCCAGCCAAATCAGTGAGTCTTACTGTGGCCCGCGTCGAAATGGCGCGCGGCTTGCCCGGCAGCTTTCAAAGTCCGCAATTTGCAATGGACATGGCGCTTGGTGGGAACGCCGGTACTCATATCTTACTGAGCGGAGTTTGAAAACCGCGTCGTATCAGTTCAACAACAGCACACCTCATCTCAATTCCGCCATCCATACGCCGACACGTAGAGACAGTACGCGCAAGTCCATCTTCATTAGCATTGCCGAAAGGTCACGCCAGCAGGATGCTACACGCACAGAGCCACCAAATGAAGGTAAGAGATCTCGCTTATTGAAGCCGTGCTGTTTCTGACTCGCCACGCATAAGTACTTACAGGAAAGGCAGGGAATGAACGAGTACATTATTCGTACCCTAAACAATGTCATTGATACATGAATTGTGATCCATCAATTCAACACTCGCGGCATGTATGCATGCAAACTTTTGGTTCCGGCAAAAATAGCGGGCCGCTCGTACGTGTCGCAGTGAGGCGAGCATCAAAGATTGCGACGCATAGGGCGCTAACCAAACACTATGAAGACGTGCGAATTGTGCTCGGGTGTGTCAGAACCGTAGGGACGAAGACACGCCGTACGTGCAGGCCTGGTGATTTGTTGGTCACCCAAATATTGACCACAAGGAGGAGCTCCGAAGCCTATCGCTATGCCTCAGGTATTCGTCATAGAACAGCTAGTAGGTCGGGAATATATTCCACGCAAGGCGTAGAGCATACGCAGTCGAAGATAACGACGACTCTTCTTGCAGCACGAAATCACCAAAGGACGTACCCAATCATCTGCTGCAAGGTGAGTCTACATTATCTTTCAATGCTCGAAAAATAGCGGCCTCGTATTCACTGTGTGCCTTCCGCTGAATTTATTTACAGGACATATCAAAGTCGTATCAGTACGTGGAACGCTACGCACCTATTTGCCTTGCGTGTCCGCAGTTTGGACAACTTTTCGATGTCACCACCGTCGCGCTCGAAATCATTCCACGGCGCGCTAGATGGAAGTGTGCACCCTCGAGGAATGTATGTCGTTGCTGGGGTACATCTCCAAACGATCCAAATGGACGGGAGTTTCTCGCGCATTTGCAAGTGGGAATAAGCCATGTGGCGCGCACGGACGCCACTGCTATTTGGGTACTTCCCATTTCGTCGGCAGCCCATCCTCTCCGCCGCCCATCGCTCCTCTTCTCATCAGCCACCATCTGCATTGTCCAGACTACTCTCCTCGTCTCGTCTCATCTTACTTGTCTTCAAACTAAGGCTTCTCGTATCCTTCGTCTTCGATACCGACGCCGTCGAACGCGACAACACCTGCATCCCCTGTACGTCCTTACCTACTCTCGCGCCTTTCGACGATCGCCGCCTCAACCTACCTTCGAAGTCCCGTCCGAAGTCCACTTCGTAATGGCGCCTATCATCACCGTTCGCCTTGCTCGCGGCCTGTGGATGCATCCAACGAATTTGGGGATCGCTCTCCGCGCGATGGGAGAGTGCGCCGACTGGGCGTAGAGGGTGTTCGCGGGGACGAACGCGGACGTCGATAGTTACATCTGGTCAGTGCTTCTTTCGCATGCGTCGACGCGTTCTCAATACGCTATGTAGTCGGTCGGGATACCACATCTCGAGGAAAGATAGAAGGAAGAGGAGGGATAGAAGGAAGAAGAAGGCCGTCAAGCCTCACTTGACGGTAAAAGTGACTGTCAACGGTATATTCTACCGTACAGTACACATCTGATCCTCTGGTACGTGCTTTTTGTTTTCGTCTGTTTGCTTCTACTTATTTTTCGCGACGCTGGCAGGGCGTATGTACATCGGTAAGCCTTCTCATACACCGTCTGGGTACGCGAACGTCAGACGATCTTACAATCGCCGTGCGTACTAGCCTTTCTTCCTTGGTCTTAGGCTCTGCGATTCCGACCCGCCCTCGCGTCTCGCCAAGGAACGGTAGTTTCTGCTTCAAAAACTACGCCGTCGCGTTTCAATGTCCACATTTGTTGTCGTGTTCTCGTCATACGTCTAGCTATGTCTGCTTTATTGTCTTGTCGTTATTGCTTGCGTCTGCTGTTCTACGTATGTATTGTCTACTGATTGGCCGTGCATAAATACATGTTGTGTACCACGAAATATGCTAGTAATCTTGGTCCTCAGGTTCAACCATTAGAACGCCACATTGCTTGAGGAAACAGAGTGGCGCCCCTCGGAGAATCCCGAACACGACTGGATGGTGGGACCAGGCTTGGACCAGGCTGTGCCCAGAGGGCGATGGTATTTTCTGCGGAAATTGCCCAACGTCCATGCTCGGGGGTGGCAATCTATTGTGTAACAGCACCGCCTTCCCAGATCTCGAAGCATTCCCCACCATCGGCTACCGCATGCTAACTCCACTTCGTCTGTACTATCATTCCAGCAGTGTTCGGTATTAGATGGGTGTTCGGTATTGCGCTCTAACGCACGCAATTCCCCATTGTTTCTCTTCAAACCTTCTTGAGATGATAGCCAGGGTTATCAAAGTGACGTACACACGCTTTGGGCACAAACCAATGTCTCGTCTATGAGTGGGGAATATACTAAAGGATAAAAAAGGCCGTTTTAGGCCGTTTAGCCCATATTGCACCTCTCTGAGCAGCAGCTCCTTCTCGTTTTTCTTGACCGTTGGCTGTTAAATACCTCTATGGGATTAATGGTACTGCATAATTCTCCGAGGGAGTACAGGTTGGGTGTTCTCAACAAAACGAAGCGCAATGGTGTGGCGGAGAATTGACCGAACACCCATCCGCGACCACCGGAATTGATCCGGACAGGAGCAGAGACGACTTTTGGTCAATGTGAGTACCTAGGGTTGAAGCATACATGTTTGCCAGCATGTATACAAAATCTCGTGAGGTAAGAGGGCGGAGGAAGAGCCCTACGAGACTTTCTGTGTTTT